GACATCAATTAATTGAAAATAAGATGCAAGAACATGAAGATGCTTGTTTTAACAAGTAAATGCAGCTTGGCCTGTGGTAGGTCTCACTTTGCAAATATTACATGGTCTTAAGAAGCCAGACAGAGAACAAGTTTAGACTCGAGGATAGCAAATGTCAATGAAGCTAAGGAGAATGTTTTGTGGTTTTTTTCTCCTCTCCGAGAAAATATTTTCCCACATATCTAGAAGTAAATCAGTGTAGGTTGGTCCAGTGATCCAACATTATTTTACTATCAGTTTTATTCAATACTTAAAATGTGCGTGGTGTAAATTCTCTGTTGGTCTCTTTTACTTCCAGGGATTCATTCAACAACTCAGGAAATCCAAAATTAATCAGCTTATCTACGCATCAAGCCTAATGTTCCTCTTAAATTCCTTAAGAGTTTTACCCTCTATGCAGTCACCCAAACTAAAAATTTTATTCATATTTCACTACCAAGCACAGGACCAATAATATTTCTCAAATAAATGAATGGATAGATTTTCCATGCTTTCCATTCCTCTGCCTCTATTTGATGCTTTAGTAAGTGCTATCTGCTCTACTTCAAAGTCTTCTCAGAGAATCCCCTTCTCTGGCTTGTACTGTTGCTGCTTTGGTACAGACCCACGAGCTTCCTAACTCTTATGTCTTGGCTGTCTAAACCATCTGCAGCACAGATTCCATTGTAATGCAACTTGATTAAAAATATTTAATTTCTCTCTTTTGTCTGCAAACCAAAATTCTAACTTTTCTTCCCGACTCTGCACAATTACGGAACTCTTCTCTTGCCACTTCTAACTTATTAACTGAACCTTCCTCTAAACCCACACTTTTCCATTTTTGATCCTACTGCATAATTGGTTGCCTCCATGCCTTTGATCCTATTGTTTCCCGTGCTGCAATGTTTCTGCCTTCTATTCTCTATCTAGCGTGCTGAATTCTGCTCACCCTTTAGTTCCTAATTTAAACATCTGCCAAGCCTGTAGTCCGAATTAATTTTTTACTTCTCAAAGCTTTCATGATACTCTCTCTTCCTACTTCTGCTCTAGCGCTCAACATAATCTAAGCTCATTTTAATAATCTGTTCATGCATCTCTCTCTCTTTGAAGTCCTAAAATGCTGTACCCCAAGCGCTTAGACAGTGCATAACCCACAATAAATGCTACAGAAAGTTTTCAAAATTGTCATTGAATTAAAGCCGTATATGTACATTATTATTGAGAAATATGCATATATTTCAGGAGTTAGAGAAAAACTATTGAATCAGAAAGTCTTTAGTATTGAGAAGAGGCTGAAAAATATTAAACCAATATGGTCCATGAGGTGATATGGCCTCATAGTTCATAAAAGGTCCCCTTTTCAGTAAAGAGAAGTTTACTGAAAACTGAGACTTTTACGAGAGAAGGACCCCCCGCCCAACCCCACAGCCGCCAGTCTTCGTGCTGGTCCTTTCCTTTTTCTTCGGATTCTTCGGACCGGAAGCAGCTTGGGCAGTCTTAAGGCTGGTGGCGTTCATTCTTTACGCTTCAACTCGCTGGGCTTGTTTCTCCCATCTCTTGCAGGAGCCCTCAGTGGAGTAGCTGCAAGAACCTCAGTGCTTACGATGAGACGACGCACCGCCCGTGGGAGGGAAGCGCCGGCTTCCTCGGGAAAGCTTCGTTTCATTCGGTACCTCTGGGGGGACAGGAGCCGCCCTGGAATGTGCTCACTGCCCTCTCCCTGTGGTGTGTGTTCTCCCTTCTTAAAGGAGGGAGACTGGGAGGAGGAAGCGGGCTCTGGCTTACCCCACACCCCCCCAAGTGCCGTGCTGCAGTTGCCCACGCGTGAAGTGCTGGTAGGGAGGCCGCGGTGAGAGTTGCTCTGTGTGGCTTTTAGTCACACAAGGCAAAGACTCCTCTAGTTCAAACAAAGCCGCTTTTCAGGTTTGCTTTCTTATAGTGAAAGGGCATTTTAGTTAATTAGTGGGAAATCATCAGAAAGGAAAGAGGCCAAGTCCCCATCTCCGTCTCTCTGTAGATTTACCATATAAGAAGGTAGTAATTATATTTAACCATTATATGGTAATTATATTACCATCGGTTAGATGGTAATAGGCCCTGCTCCGGCAGAGGAATCTTTTTCTTACAATTCTTTTTATAAAAACAATTATAAATATATACTAATTAGGGTGAATTAAAAAGACCCCATATGCAACCATATCCAACTTCAACAATTATTAATTTTTATAGCCAGTCTGATTTCATCTGAACCCCACCCCTGTACTCCCAGATTATTTAGAAGCAAATCAGACATCACATGATTTCATTCACAAGTATTTTTTTAAGTGTACAGGATTCTCGTTAGCAATATTGTTCAACCAGTATACCTTTGATTAATAAATTTCTCATCCTACCTGGAATCCATATTTTGTTGCCTCAAAACTCAAACAGTATTTGGGGCTGCCCTAGTGTACTGAATTTGTACAACTTACGTGGAGAGTTGGATTGTGTAAGCGGGCTCTATCCCTGTGATTAATCTCTTCTGTACACAATAGCACTCAGGGTGCAGGAACGCCCCTCCCTTGGTCACCTAGTAACTTTTCACTAGTCAACAACAAGCTGAATAAACTATTATGTTGTGGGAAAGTGCTTGGCTAGCTGATTTGGATCATCTCCTAGATTTTAGGAGAAATAACCATTGCCAAGTTTTAATTTGCTAAATCTTTAGGCTTTGCTGGCAGGAAAGAAGCATATCACTTTTGGAGCACAACATGGATACAGAGGATGTGGGCTCAGGTAAACTGGGCCAAATATTGAAGCAGATTTGGAGACAAAACCAGATGCTCATGCAGGCGCTCCTGGGGGATGGCCTTTGTGAGGGGGCTGGGGGGGCCACGTGGATGGCCACAGTGGTCTTCCTGGCTCAAGAGCTCACTAGGGCCCTTCACCAACTGCTGGAGCACACCACAGGCACCCTGCGCTCCACCTGCCAGCAGCTGCGTGTGCTGCTTGACAAGGACAATCAATGCATCTGGAGACAAGGCAAGTATTGTTTTAGTTTATTCTTTCTCTAAGAAACATTGATTCTGTGAGCACACAAACAAGGCTATGGTAGTGTCTCTGTCCACAAGGGACTAACAATATAACATGGGAGATGAGACAAATGCACAGCAGTGCAAGGGACATTGAGGCCAGTCCCATTAGAGATGTACAGATGAAGTGCTTTTGGTCTTCATAAGCAGACAAAATCCCATTTTTAGGTTTGGGAATAGGGAATTCTGCTAGAACAAATGTGGCATTTTAAATGAAGCTTAAAGAATGAATTGGATTTATGCAACAGAAAATTGGGAGTTTTGAGGTATTACTAACAGGATCCAAGACTTAGAAATAGGATATTATAGGCCGAGTTTGATGCAGAGCACACAGTTTTTCTATATCAGAACATAACCTTCTATCTCTAGAGTCATTTTAACTTGGACTTATTAGTTCAAAGTCACTGGGAAGACTGGAGTGGGTGGGATAGGGAATTGGATCTCCCCACACAGTGTGTGTGTGGTGGTGGGGGGGGGATTTCATGGGAATAGGCCCAGTTATGGATGCTGCAAAGTACAGTAAGGCAGGAAGAAGCTGGTATCTGATGGATATGATCTTAGGCAACAGTTACTTCAGATAAGAGTATGGGTGGCATCATGAAATCCAACTCTAAATAATATGGTAATGTAATGTCAAGGCAAGTGGGAGGAATCTGGGGTAGATAATATTAAGAAATCCAGTCTAGAAAGCAGATAGTAGGCATCAGGAAAATCTGTGCAAAGGCAGCATGACCCAGAAGCTACCAGCTGGAGCTCGTAACCAGGCCTCCATTCTCTGGAGAGAACTGAACATGGTCCTAGGCAACACATCGAGACAAATACCTATTCAGGAAAACAAGGACTCAGCTCCCAGAACAGAAGTCAAAAATAAGATAGAGTCTCAGGTATAAGGAAAAAAAAAAAAAAAAAGTTGTCAGAACTGGAGCCCAAAGACAAACCTGGACTAGTGAAAAATGATTTGGTGATGATTCTAAAAACTCTGGGCTGTGGGGCTTTCAATCACATATTCCTTAGCTCAGAATTGAATTGTAAAGATTGGAGAGGTGCTAAACCTGCAGGAAGTCATCGGGTGACCCCAGCTGTGAGGGAAGAGGGATGAACAAATAGGAGAATGATAAGAGGTGAAGAGGAAATGAGAGAGATTCTATCAGATCAGATCCTGATGCGGGTCTACACCAGAGTGAAGAGGCTTGATTTGATTCAGTCATCCTTGAGTAGCCACTGCAGGCTCCAGTCAGAGAATTGGCATGATCAGAGCTGTTCTTTAAAAGACTAATTTGAAAATTTCCAATGATCGCAAGCTTAGCAGGAGGAATAATGTAAACCTAATTCAATTATCATGGCAGCACATTACACCCCTCCCCCCAAAAAATATAGCATTTCCATCAGCAGGAATAATACAGCTATGGTGTTTCTGCTACCTAAGCCTCATCTGGGGTGTTCAGCTAATTTTTGGCCCAGCATTTTAAATGGATAATTGATAAACTGTAGTACATCCAGAGGCAAGGGAACAATTCTCAAAATCATACCAGATGAGAAGTGATTTAGGGGGATACTAACTTCAGTTCTTATTGAAGGGGTGTGTCGTGATATCTCTTTTTAAATATTCAAAGTATTTTCACGAGCAAGAGGGATTAGATTTACTCTTTGCTACTATGCTAAAAGTAGTTTGTTTCCAATTCCTAGCAGGGTTAAAAGAGTGACAGTTATACAAATGATTTCTCCTTCAGGAGTTTGGCTTAAACGCCCAGTAAGGGCCTTTGTAAGTTTCTAAGACTATCTTGCTGTATCTCATTAGATGTCACTGCAAAAACATAATTTGGTTTAGTTTTATATTTATTCTTTGTGTGTGTGTGTAGAAATCATTACTTTCATAGACTGCCTCATGAAAACAAATGAACATTTGGGGAGCACCGCTACACTTCTCAAGAAAGAAGAAAAGGAGATGTGTAATTTATGCGGCACGCGTGATGAATGTGTTCTACAGCAGACAATGTCCGCCATTCAAGATGCCACAGCAACAGACATTGCTGCAAGAAGGGAACTCAATGTCATAGAAACAGCTACTGTTTCTCCCAAAAATGGTGAGGAAAGTCATTACACAACCCAGGTCCAGTTAAGAGAAAATAAAACACATACGAGTTCAGAATTAGTGGTAAAAGAAAACAATACATCATTGAATGGAAATGTAATGGGGCAAGAAGAGTCACAGAACAAAACGTTCCCAGATAATGCAGAAAATGAAAGTGATAAACAAATCGAGCACATGACTGTTGAGAACATAAATGGCAACAAGGAAGAGATTCATGACATAATCCAGACAACAGAGAGGGAAATTGAAAAGACCTCAGAAAGCCAAAGAGAAGAGATTACCACATCCTCAGTAGCATGTGGTACCGCCAATAAATATGTAAATAGTCTTCTTCCCAATGATTCAGGGAATATAAAGCAACAGGATAACATAATGGAAAAGGAGTAAGTAAATGCAAAATGAAAAGTTTTTGTATATGCCTACTTATATGTGTGTTTCTGTACTTAGTACATGTCTTAGTCCATTCAGGCTGCTACAGCACAATACCATAAACTGGGCAGCTTTAAAACATTTGTTTCTCACAGTTGTGGAGGCTGGGAAGTCCAAGATTAAGACGTTGTCAGATTTGTCCGGTGAGAGCTTTCTTGCTATATTCTTACATGGGGGAAGGGCCTATTTTATGGAGGTATTAATCCCATTGAGGAAGGCTCCACCCTCATGACCTAATCCTCTCCCAAAACGCCTTTTCTCCTGATATCATCACCTTGGGGCTTAGGATTTCAGTATATAAATTTTGAGGAGACAGAAACCTTCAGACTATTGTAATATACATAATATTTGTACATGAATACAATTTTATATTTCCATTTCATACCTCCATAAGACATTGTAAATCGTTAATTCAGTTTAAATTACTCCTATAAAAATTTATATGGCTGCTATTACTAATATTGTTTGTTTCTTGTACCTTTAGGAAACAAACATCAAATATTTTTTAAAGGAGGAAGGAATTGAATGCATAAGAAAGTAGTTAAAGTGAACAATTGTCTAAAGCATGGACACTTCTAAACCACTACATTTTCAATTATAATAAGAAAAACTAGGAGGCTTCAGAGTGTTAAAAAATTAGGAGAGAATTTTTTAGCCTCAGATTTATTTCATTTATATTCCCAAGAAAATCATCATGTGTTTTGAACCTATGTCTGTAAAACCCTAGGGGCTCAGGGATAAGCTTCAGGAGGTGCTTAAAATTGAATGCGCATGTTTATACCCATTTTATTTCCTTGGAGATGGTCCAGTGCTATCATCAGATTCTCTATGTGCCCATGACTTCCAAAAAGTGAGAGACTGATAAATTTTGTAAATTATTTCCCCTATATAAGGAGGTAATAATTCCCTATTTGTCCAAATAAAATAAAATATTCACAGACCCTATTTTCCCAGGAAAGTATAACATCCTTAGAAGGTAATGGGTAATAGTGAAAAAAAAAAATCATTTATTTTGGGAGTCAGACAGACTCAAGTTTTATTTTCTGTTTTATTACATACGAGTTTTGTGACCCTGGGCAACTTGTTTTCTTTCTTAGCCTCATTTTTTTGTTTGTAGAAATAATAAGTACTTCCTGGGATTATTTGGTAAGGTCAAATGAGAAAATCATGTAAAGGGCCTGGCACTGTGCCTCTCTGCAGAGGTTCACACTCAGGTAAATGTTAGTATGTTAGTTTATTTCACCTTCAACAACCCTCACTTTCTCCACCTCCCACTCACTACCACCCTTCAATTACTTGCTTCTCTGCCATGGTATGTTGATGCTCTTTCAGATGTACAGTAACATTTCCAGAACAATGATTTTAGCCAAGCCATTTTGCTCACCATAACCGTAGTTATCTCATCTATAAAATGAAGAGGGTGGCCTAGTTTAGCTGTTATGTTCCTACAGGTCAGAGAATCTAAATAATTCTGTGATTGAGCATATTCAGTGCTTGAAAGGCCTCCATAATTTGTAAGAATTACTGCTCCTGCAAAACAACTACTAGTCAATATGCGGTTACCCGTTTCACTTGAGAAAAACATTGACATTTCATATTCTCACATTCAGAAATGACTCAAAGCATCAGTTAATGAGTCATTGCCTGAACCACTCCCTCTAACACCTCCTTTAGGTGTTTCCTGGTTAGTGATTTCCTCTTTGTGGCATCCAAACCGATTGTGCTTGGCTTGCATATTTAAGAAGACTACTCATTGCAATCTCTCAGCCTAGGAAGCCATCATGCCACATAAAAGATGTGTGTGATAAACAAAACTCATGCAGAATCTGTTGAATCCCCCCTGGACAGCTTTCTGAAAGAAGCCTATCTCTTCTAGTGTTGTTGTCCTAGTCTATATGTGAAGGGGAAACGATGTAATTACAATCATGTGTCACTTAATGACAGAGATACATTCTGAGAAATGCATGGCTAGGTGATTTTGTCATTGTGCAAACATCATAGAGTGTACTTACACAAAGCTAGATGGTATAGCCTACTGTGTACCTAGGCTATATGATATAGTCTATTGCTTCTAGGTTACAAACCTGTATACCATTTTACTTCACTGAATACTATAGGCAATTGTAACACAATAGTATTTCTGTATCTAAACATATCTAAACATAGAAAAGGTACAATAAAAATACGATATTATGATCTTATAGGACCACCATTGTATATGTGATCCATCAATGACTGAGAAGTCATTATGTTGTGCATGACTGTATTTTTTTTTTTAGTGGTTGGACTAGAATCTAATTGATTAGGGCTGGAGGGGGAGGGGATGGAACCATTTACAGGTCTTCTGATCTACTTCATCTGCCACTTGGGTAATATACCTGCCGGAAGAAGAGTGTGTTGAGATGGTTTCCAAGGCACAGAGGGGAGTCACCACATCCTCTATTAAACAATGTCTCATATTTTCTGAATTCCCATCATTGCGATCCCCAGAGAATACTCAAGCAGACCAATGTGCTGGGTAATCTTCTATTCCTTCCAACTTTATGAGTTCAGAATTGCAAATATAAATAAATGACCCTCTGTGCAATTTCAACATTGTTTTTTAGATTTCTGTGTTAAAGTGCACTTTAAAATTCTACTTACCATTAACTGAAAAACATCTAAAGTCTAATTAGTCTAGAACTAGACATTAATGATATGTAATATATAGACACTCTTATTTCTCTTCAACATTGCCTGTATTTCAGTCATTTCACTGGTATAAATGAGAAGTAGCAAGATGAAGAGAAACTCAAGATGATAATTTTAATCCAACATTTACTGAGCACCTATCTTATGCCAACCCATTATTATAAGAAATTTAAATATTTTATCTCATTCAATCTTCACACTATTATGGGTTAGATATTCATTTTAATTTGTAATGGATAAAGTAACCAGTACTTTCAAATGATTTGAGGGAGTATGATATGACACTTGAGAGTTTGGGCTTTCACATTAAAGATGGATGGAGCCAATTATTGCTTCTAAAACTTACCATCTGTGGGATCTTTAAAATCAAGTTAAATTTTCTAGACCTCAGTTTTCTTGTCTGTAAAATGGTGATGACAGCAGTACCTGCCTGATACAATAATTGTAAAGATTAAATAAAATAATGTGTAGCCTAACACCTAGTCCATAGAAAGCACTAAAATATTAGCTATTTTAATAACAATTATTAATGTGTAAGGCCAAAGAAATTGTACATGACTAATCTGAAATTTGAATTTGGATTTATAAGACTATAAAAATCCTTGGCAAATAAGATTTTTGATTGATCCTTTTGAGAATTGCAAATAATGTGGTCCAAATTACTATGATTAATCATAAATTCACAGTTCTTTTGTACTTTTCTCAGTTTTTCTAAAACAATCTAGTAATCATCATCATTTGATCATTTGTTTAGACAATTCCAGTACCTCGTAGATGATTACTCTCTCTCCTCTCAGTTGAGGAAACTATTCAGGTATTTAGTAGTTGGTTTATCAAGAATCTTCAGTAATCCCAGATTCTTATTGTGGAGTGAGTAAAACTAAGGAATGAACCAAATCACTTGAGTAATGATAGTAATCACAACAATAGTTAATATAGTTAACATATATAACACCTCTGTGTGCCAGCCATAGCCCTAATTGCTTAATATATAACAGTCCATTTAATTCACACAACTTTCCTAGGAGACAGGTATTATTTTATCACCATTTTACAGTAGAAGAAATTGAAGCAAAAAAAGGTTATAGGATCAACAAGTGGGAGAACTAGGATTCACATTCAAACCCTAGCTCTGGAGTTTGTGCCCCTCTGCATTTAGCTACAAAGCATATAAATCAAATAATTGGAAGAATGACATTCTTTTTGTTTCCCGTGCAGGTACCTTGATGCGCTGAGTGATGCTACTGACCCCCAAGTGTCTTGTTATATTACAGCACCATTATATGTTCTACAGCAACTAAAATGCCAGATAATTAATAGCATGAGTTCTTTAATAATGAGTGATTATGAAGAGTTGGTCAGCAATGTCATCACTATTGAATGTTCAGATAGGGAAAAGAAAATTCCATTTCCAATATGCATTGCAATTCCATTTACTGCACATTATAGGGGAAATTACAGAGACATCATGGTGAAAGTGTGTGACGTGAACCTTCAATCAAGTTACTTAAACCCAAATTCATTGGAAGGAATGAGAGGAAGTTATAAGGTTGGTAAATACTTGGCTCCTCTTCTGAATATTACTCAGGCTAACAGATTGTAGTATAGATATAATTGCTCCACTGGTAACAAATGGAAGGGTTGATAGATTTGTGCCAGTGCGTTCACACTTTGTTGCTATCCACAGGGCAGAAATGATTGGCCAAATTTAGGAATAGACAACTTGGGTCTAGGACCTAGCAAATGTTATTTTTTCACCTGGGAAACAAAACCAACATCATAGCTTCATTAGCTAAATTATAAAGACTAGCTTTAGATCAACATTTCTAATGTGGTGGACTCCTGTTTAAATTAAGACTGTTAGAATTGTCAGATGATAGCAGCTTTATTTTTTATAACTTATGAGTTGGGAAAATATGTACAAATAAAGAATAATTGTGTGTGTATGCCTTGAGATATCATAATAATTAGGTCTATAAGTGGAATTTAGTCTGTGCATGGAAGATTGTGTACGTGGTAGTTAGGATGCGGGTTGTGAATGAAGATTGGTTAGGTTTGAAATCTGGTTGAAATCTCTCTTTTCTGAGTTTCAAATAAGGTTATATAGTTGAATATGAAAGTTAAGCCTCTTCTAATTACTCACTCCAATTAATGCAACTAATACATTTTATATTTAGTGGGTAAAAAGAAAATAAAATTTTAGGACAGCCCCCCACCCCCAAACTCCTTACACAAAAGAGAATGTAAAGGCCTCAGGTACTCGCGAGGAACTGGCCCCACAGATCATTCATTAAGGACATTCCTGCTGGTCTCACAGAAGCAAGGACTTGCAAATTGTAGCTTTAGGTCTGCAGGCTATGTGTAGCTCCTAAAACCTAAAATCTGTCCTGATTTCACACTATTAATGAATTACAAGTTTATCTTTATAGGCACAGAACAGAGACAAGACAGGATAAAACATTCTTTGACCAACCCAGGGACAGCTGCATAATTTATGCTTCCTTCACTCCTTTTTCTCTTCTAATATTGGCCTTGTTCTTATGTAAAATGTAGATTTTCCTGGGAATCACAAGAATGTAAGCATTTTGTCCCTCTGCCCTTTTCTTCTTTCTGTATGCCTTCAAATGCTGAAACTTCCAAATTCCCCTCCGAAAAATACCCACAGCTTTGTCTGTGGTTTGTGTTTTTTCCAAGCATGTCCTCAATTTTGGCTTAAGAAACCTCCATTGACTGAGATATTTTCCTCAGTCACACAGTTGGGATGGGAAGTCTCAGAAGCATACAGTAGTCTGCACAGCACTGCCCTTGACTGGGGCTTTTAATCTTAGCCAGTCTGTGTGACTGTCACAATAAAAGCAAAAACTGCTCATGGCATACATACTTTTCATGAAATTGGTTTGAAAGATGTTTAGTAAATGGATAATCAAAGCAAAAGAAAAAAAGATAAAAGAATGATTGTCTATTATAAAAAGTAAAGGCATAAACTTTTCTCTTTATCGTATTCTACTGGGAGTCATCCCTAATTTTCACTCAAGAAAATTTAAACTCTGGATTCCTTCCAAATTGTTATGTGGATCATATGACATTTAGAAATTCTAATTCTTAAAACCTTATTTGGTTTCTTAGTATCTGCCAAATGTGGTCTAAATGCACAGCAACCACCACTGGTTTCTGGAAGATTTTTCACCATTTTCCCTCCGGCCAATTAAGAATATTCACCATAACCTGAATTTTCCCAACCAGGGATTCATGCAGCAATATTGTGAAATCTCTTCCTTGGTCAGCTTTCAAATGATAATTTTCCCTTGTGATTGTCCCCGAAATGTCTGCATGTGTGTGTGCATGATCACCCACTCGTGTATGTGTATGTGTGTGATCACTCACTCGCGTGTATGTGCGTGATCACCCACTCGTGTGTGTGTGTGTGTGTGTGTGTGCGTGATCACCCACTCGTGTGTGTGTGTGTGCATGATCACCCACTCACGCTGGGGTGGGCGCAGGCTGCTGTTTTGGGAAGCACGAATAGACCAGATTACTTCCAAGTCGGCCTCCTCAATTTAAGCTTCGGTGATTATATGTAGATCATTTTGTTTTCATTTATGTGCTCAGTTCCCTTTTGTGCAATAAAAAGCTTGGATGTGTGCCTGCATATGCATTACAAATTTGAATGTCACTGTGTAAAAAAGAAACACAAATGTGTCTCTTTGCAGTCATCTACACCCATTGCATGGAGGAAAGAAATACATAAAATGACTTTATTTTGGGAGCCTAAGAGATTATCAGAAGAGAGAATTTGCTGACAGTATAGGTGCTATAGCGTTTCAGTAAACTACCCAAACAATGAAATGCTAGTCCTTAGAATTCCCTACAACGGTACTGAATTGTTCTGGATAAAGGTCAATACTCAAAATCCATTCTAGCTAAAAGAGGTTAGGATTCCAGAAGCAATTAATATTTGTGAAAACAATGAATATCATTGCCTAGTATATGAGGGCTGTCCAGAAAGTATCCGGCCGTGTACTATGTTCTTGTTGTATTTACAATGTCTGGATACTTTCCAGACAGCCCATGCACATGTACATTTTTGGAGGGGATTTAATTTAAATTTCAAAATATTTTCTTTCTCTGTTTTCTACCATGGAGTCCAAATTTGAGAAGCTCTTAATTATCTACTTACGCATCATCTCATGAAAGGACCATTTATTTTAGGTTAATGGAATGATTCCAAATTATGGATGATTACATGGGTGGTTTATAGATTTTTTTCACAGTCTTCAGAGTATATACACCATGGACTTTTCAGACAGTGCTGTAGCTTGTTTTGATGTCCTTTAATCCATACAGGGGAGCTGTGCTACAGTGAAAGTTTACAAGTTGGGCATCTTTTCTGTTGTGTCTTCTTTAAAGAAGGAGTCCTTCACGGTAACTAAGAAAGGCCTCACTCTTAAGTCGAACATGGATTCCAGAATATCCTTAAATTACCCTCCAGGAGTCTTCAGCTCACCGGTGCTTGTACAACTAAAGGTAAACATTAAAAATTGGTGAGTTCCTTCTCACAGATTTTGTGGGTCATCAAGCATGGTCCTAAAGAATAAAGAGGATACTGGTATTTAATATAACTATAAGTGGGTTCTTCCATTGTACTTGTAGTGTCCTAACATATAGTGATATCAGGGAGATTGTGATGATTTTGAGCATATTAAGTCTCATTCCAAAATAAATCTTCACTTTATTTGAAAGTTTTTCCCGGTTAGTCTTTCATGTTGCTTTGTTTGTAATATTTATTGACAAAAACCTTTGTTGAGTATCTATGAATGAATTGATGAAAGATTTTCATGTGAAAAAATGGCTAAAAAAGGATAATCAATTAAAATATTTATTGCTATGAATATTTGGTTATAATTAATTATGAAACATTAGCCATTTTTTGGGAATAAGGATTTAATATGAAGTCTACCCAGAAAATATCCAGCCATTGTCAATATAGCGAGAACATATTACATGGCTGGATACTTTCCAGACAGACTTCATGTACACAAACACTATCGCAAAGTTGTATGGTGTGTCAACGTATATTTTAGAAGATTTATTTCCTCAAATAATATTCTCTGTCTTTCTGGCCTCAACCCTCTCCCAGGCACTCCTCTCTCTTTCTCCCAGTTGTTACCGTAAGTGGTATGTGAAGAAGAAAAATTAGGGAAAAACGTATAATAAATATCTTGTAATAAATATTTTCTATAAACTTTGAAATGTTGGCATTATGTTAGCTATTTTTTATTATTAACCATTCTTATGTGAAAGAAAACACTTAAGTAAATATTCTTGTTTTACTATTTCTAAAGATCTTTTTATCTAACATTAGTTGTAATTAGAAATTATATAAAGTGTCTATTTTGTTTTTTAGGTCATTTTGGTGCCTACAATTAAGAGTGTTTCTCAGCTATTTATAACATAAGACAAGGAACCCAGATTTCAGAAAGACTTTGTCAAAAGAGACTCAAATGTTGTATCTTTTATAAATTATATTTATTTTATAAAATACAGTGTTGATTCCAGCTAACGACGTATAGAGAAATCTACACTCTGTAAAATTTTCAGAAAATTGGATTAGAAATGTGCTGATACCTTGCATCTTTTGCTATTAAAATATAAGCAAATATATATTTTTTCTTTGTTTAGATCCAACCAGTTGACCCATCTCTGGTGGCATATTTAAAAACACAGCAAGATACTTCCTACTCTGTACTATCCACAAGCCCTCTGATTCATGTTCAGCACCCATCAACTCATCCTTTTCAGAAGCCAGTCACTGTATTCCTACCTTGTTCTCCACATCCTGATAAGAAGAATCTTGCGTCTGAGATAGAGCATAAAAGAACAGCTCGTGCCACAACAAACAGGATCACACCTTCGTATTTCAACTGGTGAGTCAGATCCTAATTGCAAACTGACCTAATGGTACACAAATAAACTTACATGATTAAAAATCACAATCAAATGTCATATATTTAAATATCAATATTAAAATACCGTGAAATATTTTTAATCCAGAAATATTGTGTATCCATGAAAGGTAACGATTCTAGTTGTAATGGGGCCCAAAGTGTGCTATGTGTTAGCAATGAGTTGATGTGAAAAAAGTAAAATTAACTCTTCCTTTCAAAGAACTTAAAATATGGTTAATTACAAAAGTGTGGTACGGTGATTTTAATTTCTATATTTAAAAGTGTTCTATTAATTCAGGAAAAAGATTAACTTTACCTTTTACAAAACAAACTACATTTGAATTTAATAGGTGGATTCCTCCTCCCAATTTTTATAATTAAACAAAATCCCCACCAATAAGACAGATATACATACTAAGCCAGCAGCCAGAAATGAAATCAGAAATGGCATGCTAACAACAAATAGGCTACACTGCATGATAGTAGTCCTGATCTTAATTCTTACCCTTTAATATTTATCTTTTTTTTCCTAATAGAAAAAGTAGAAGGGAGCTTTCTATTCTTTAGTTCTGAAGAGTATATCTTAAGGATTTTTCTTATTAGTGAGAACTCTAGAGTTCTAGGTCGCAAAATCCTTCATTGCGACCTATTAATATCTTACACACTTGGAATGACTATTACCAGGCCCTTCCTCCTACTTGGGAAATGGTGGCAATATAGCGACTATTTATAAATAGCTTTGAAATAGCTCATATCAATGAGAAAAGACCATCGAAAATAACTAGCACATATTGACAGTTTCACAAGTGCCAGCCAGTATTCTAAATTCCTTACCTCTAGTAACTTAATTATTCCACACAATAAACCTATGATGGAGCTACCGTTGATGTCCCCACAAGCAGGAATGTACCTTCACTTTCATCAAGGTATCTCCATGTTTTTTAAATACATTATCTCACCAGTTATGACAATATTCCTGTGAGACTATTAAATGTCTCATTTTGTATTTGTTTTTATTAATACCTGTATTATACCTCTTATGACACTGGACTATGTTTCTTTCTTTTTAGCATCTTTCATTGTTGCTGCCTTGAGTTCCTTGTGGACAAAATTTGTGTTTTATTTCTCTGGAATTTCTTGTAAATAACTTTATTATGTGCAGTGAAAAATCAGAAGAGAGAGAAACAATGTCAGACAAATAATTGAAACAATAACAACTATTATTTGAGGGGCTACTATGTGCCAGGTTCGTTACGTGTATTACCTCATCCAGTAGCGACAGGAGCATGTTGGACTGTGGCTGTGAGAAGAAATTAAGCTTTTCCTGGAGTTATACAAGTGAGAAAGAACATAGAAAACCAGACATGACCCAGTTATATGTGCTTTTGCTACCAAAATTAAATATATGTAATATACAGCCGTACATCATTTAACGATGGGGATACATTCTGAGAAATGTGTCATCAGGCGATTTTGTCGTTGTGAACGTTACAGAGTGCGTCCACACAGACCTAGACGGTGCAGCCTGCTACACACCCGGGCTGCGTGGTACAGCCTGTGGCTCCCGGGCTGCACACCTGCACAGCATGTCACTGTACTGAACACTGCAGGCAATTGGAGCGCAACGGTATCTGTGTATCTAAACATATCTAAACAAAGACGAAGTACAATAAAAATACAGTGTTATAATCTTACGGGGCCACTGGCGCATATGTGGTCAGTCGTTGACTGAAACACTGTTATGCGGACGTGACTGTGGCGGTTTGGCTGATCCATGTCCTGTATGTCGTAGTGATATAAGACCAACAGCCAGAAATACTCAGGAGTTTCCAATTTAAAATGTAGCAGCCTAGTAGAGTAAGACTTATTCTAGCCCAAACACCCCTTAAAATACCTATACTTATATTTTTTTAAAAAGATGAGAAGTTAAACAACCCTAACGATGGATTCTGTCTGGTAAACTGTTGCTAGAATCCAGTAAGTATTTCTACTGTCTGGAGGGTGGATGGCAAAGAATTAATAAAAAGAATTTGTGGCTGACATCGTAAAACAAAGCAGCTGCATTGGCCTAAGAGATGGTTAAAAAAAAACCCAGTTTGCCTGTCCCCTATTGTTTGATCTCCTAGTCTATCTATATCGATGAGAATATAAGTCTCTCTCTGTAATACACGAATATCATTTTAAAGTGATTAGATCACTGTCCCTTTGCCTCTCCTTTGCTATGTTTCTACATCTCTCAGAAACAGCAGGGTAGACTAGAGAAATGGGAAGCAGTATGATGAATTGCCGGGAGTGAAATTCCCACAAGCAGGCACGAAGGCGGAGGGAAGGGCGCCCTGCGAGGGGCACGTTTTCACGCATTCAGTCTGCTCAAGGCGTTGGAAATCCAGTTAGCACAGGTGAGGAGGAGGTCACACCTCAGTCCGAGGAACTATACTCAGTCAAATGGCTGGACACTGAACGTTGCATCCGATATCGTGCACTTGGATCCGCCCCTCGGATCTGAGAAAGAGATCCCAATGGCCACCAAGCTGAAAATGGTGCATAAGCCTCCGTTAAAGGGTAAGGAAAAACCAAAATCCTACGTGGTATTCTAAGAAAAAAGAAATTGCTACCAAGATTACAAAAGAAGAACAAAAACAACAAAAAACAAATGTGTAGAAATACAGAAAGAGAGTATCATCCTGACATTGCACAGTAATTTGAATAATGAGAATTACAGTTACCTGGAGAATATTACGGAAACCTATTTTGTATGTTTAGTAGTATCCAGTAAGCATAATTTCAGGAAAGCAGAAAGCCATCTTTCCTAGGTTAGACTAGGAAATGATGAAAGGACAGCAGGATAAGATATACAGATAACAAGCTGAGATGAAAAGGGACCAAGATATGATAAGGAATCATTTCAAAGTGATGTAACCTCATAATTATAGGTACCATTGAGGAAAAGACCAAGTAATCCTAAAAGATGCAATAATCAAAGGCATAATTGAATTTAATTTTTGATGTTGATTAAAACCTTGAGTTAGAAAGTGCTGATTGATTACTAGACAAAATTTATGAAAAAGACCCATACTAAGACATAACATGGCAAATTGAAAGGTAGGTTTAAATAAAACATAATTCCACAAGCATTCATTCCACAGAAATAGATTGAGTAAACAGAAATAAAATCAGTCTGGCCTCAGTCTTACTCTTTGTAGCACTAATATCACGGGAAAAAAATGGACCCAAAACTTCAAGGTTCTGAAAGGACAAAGTTGTGGATTTAGGGTTTTCGCCCAAAAAAGATGTCATTTTGTTTTTGTTATTGTTTTTCTTTTTTTAAATACAAGGGCTCACAAAATGTAAAATTTCGTGTTTTTAACAAAACAAATAGGTATGTATATAAAATTAATAGGCTGACTTAATAAAATAAAATTCAAAATACAAAAAATGGGAAAGCATTATTCTTATTTTTAAATAAGTATTGAGCATATTGAGCAAAATCTAGTACTGAGCATAAACAATATAAAAGAAAAAAAGAAAAAATTACAAAAGTAAAAGTTCACATGGCAGAGAGATAACAGAAAGAAAACAAATTAAAAAAAAATTCCAGCATGGTGACATGATTCTATTTTTAAGAGAAAGCTAAAGCAAGATAATATAAATAAAATTATCAGTTATGACAATAAATATAAATGGGTTAAACATAATTTATACTGTTGTCCATATTTCTTAATCTTTCCTTGATATTTTTTAATACTTTATATGTTGCATGCAGGGTGATTTCCTTAGATTTATTATACATATTAGTTTTCTCATCAGTTGTTTAAATTATTCATTTCAATCACTAATTTCCATTGCTAAAAGGCTATTGTTATATATAATCTTTCTTTTTTTCAAGCTGCTATGTTTTTTTCATTATGATTTATACAATTGACCTTTGAACAACATGGGGGTTGGGGTGCTGAGCCCCTGCATAGGTGAAAATAAGCATATAACTTTGGACACCCCCAAAGCTTAACTACTAATAGCCTACTCTTGACCTGAAGCCTTATCAACAACGTAAACAGTCGAGTAACATATTTTATATGTTTTATGCTGTATTCTTACAATACAGTAAGCTAGAAAAAGAAAATGTTATTAAGAAAATCATAAGAAAGAGAAAATATATTTACTATTCATTAAGTGGAAGTGGATCATCAAGCAGGTGTTCATCCTTGTGGTCTTCACCTTGGGTAGGCTGAGGAGGAGAGGGAAGAGGAGGAGGATGGTCTTGTTGTTTCAGAAGTGGCAGAGGGGGAAGGAAATTTGTGTGTAAGTGGACCTGTGAAGTTCAAACCTGTGTTATTCAAGAGTCAACTGTATTTCTCCCTTTATTCCTTGACTTATTCTATGGTCTCATTCAGATCACTTTATCATCTATCTATTAACATGGTGTTTACTGTTATACTATCTACCTATGAGCATAGTGTTATTCTGTAGACTACCTTTAATACTAATTCTATTCTGATGCAATTACCCTTGAACATTCATTTCCAAGTATTGATTGTAATTTTTGATCGGATACAAACACCAGCTCTTCTTTCCCTCTCTTCTCCAACCCAAAGCAATTTTTTGTGCTTCTTTGCTACTTTCTTGAGTCAATGGGAAAAGGGGTTTTTGTTCTTGGGAAAGCTATTTCCCACTTTCATGGCCAGTGATGCCCTTCTGAGATTTCAGCTTTATGAGTTTCAGCTCCCTCTTTGTGCATCTGGAGGGTGTAGTTAATGTCTGGGAATAGATATTAAACTGCAGCCTCCAGCACCTGTCGTGTGTGCACGGTTGGGCTTGGGGACAAGAGGCTGACAGGGGAAAGCATACCCATGGAATCAGTTTCTGAAGTTCCCTAGGGAGGGAGAATCCTTGCGTTTTAAGATCCTTGATTCTCAGATCGAGGGGATTTTCATTTCTGTTTTTGAGTTCATATAATGTGTGTGTGTAATATTTTGTCCAGA